TTTTATACAGTACAGAAATATATAACAAATCTCCAGTTTTGGAAGAAATAGAATTTCAGACAACAATGCGGGAAACAAAAATGACACTGTTCAGGTTGCAGTGGAACTGGTTAAGGATGAGTCACATAAAAGGTTAAAAGCAAAAACAAATAAAACTCCGTCAGTAAAAGTGCTTATTCAGAACAGGATTCAGATTGAGCTCCTATAATCCAAATGCTACCGTTTCCATTCATGAGTTAACTTTGCTGTTTCCGTGGTCAACAATGTATTAAGAATCTACTTAGTTACTTAGAAGTACATTTCAAGAATGCTTCCAACAATACCCAACAGAAAGAACAGAAAAGGACCACATCTTATAAATTCTCTTCATTATTCAATGGCTTTGAGGTTTACATGTGTACAGTATGTGTCCATTGCCCTAGCTCTAAAAAGTTATCTCATTTACATGGAAAAAGTCTGTGTGGTATTTATGCAGTTAGCACAGCAATACAGTGGTTACCATTGGTGCCTTGCAGTGCTAGGGCCCTGGGTTAAATTCCTGGGGTGCATTCTGCATGGAGTTGGTATGTTCTCCAGTGTTCACATGTGTTTCCTGTGGGTGGTAGGAACCTACATACTGGTATGTTAAGTGGCTTCTGGATAAACTGTCCCTAAGTGCGTGTGTGTCCGTGTGTCCACCCTGCAAAAGCATCTCATCTAGGGTGTACCCCGCCTTCCCATTGCTTGCTGGGATAGGTTACTATTTCAATGGAGAAACTATTTCTGTGAGAAAGATACATTCTTGACAAATATGCTATTGATTGTAACAAAAGCTTTGAACATTCCTGCATTAAACAAAATCTGTTTATTATTCTGCACAAATAATCCACATGGACTTTTCTTAGAAGTCTTTCCATTAATGAACACCCCCTTCCTGAGCTTGTTGTCCTGAGTTTCATGAGACTAGAAGCAGATTTCCTCTTTAATAGCCTCACAATCACTAAAGTTAAATGTCATTTTTAACTTCAGCAAGCTACAGGGAGACGACAAGTGTCCAATAAACATTCAATTTTGGGTCGGGTGTCAAAGAAGTCACAGGCTTCTGGTTTCCTTGATGAAAATACAAATTATTAATATGTCACTGAATGCTGTTCAGTTTTGAGACCAGTGGGATTTATTAAACATTGCAATGTGTAGAAAATACATCTTCATGCTAAAAAAATGATAATACCAAGAACATCCATATGTAAGAATACAAAATAAGTCTTTAATATCAATACAGAAGCAAACTTTCCTCAAAAGAAAGGATTTGAGAAGAGTGTGGTTCTTAACTATTTCTGTTTTATATTATCACTGGATAGCTTTAAAGATAAAACATTTTTTTAAACTGGCTTCATTTGTAAATTTTAGAATTAAACATGACAAGGCAATTTAATTTGGCTTTTGGCTTTTATCATAAACTTGTATCACACACTCCCTCTGTATAGTACATACCTGATATATAGCAAGAAATAATGTTGATTATTATATTGTAAAATAGCACACAGTGCAACATAATGAAAATGAGTATCAAATTGATAAACCAAACTGACCCTGTGCTTCTCCTCAGTAACATTCACAATGGGTAAGGGACAATGGGTCATGTAGGAGCATCACAAGAGCAATCATGAAAAAATACAATTGTTTTTACAACATCCTGAGCGCCGTGTCATTATAGAAAACAAAATAATTGTAAGACAAAACAATATTCATTTGAAAAGAATGGACAGAACCTGCATATAGCTCTAAATTCAGTTTTACAAACATCAAAATGTGAAACTATCAAGTATTAAAATCGTTAGAATAATCAGAATTAGACATAATTAGACATATTGAAAAGGACAGGGATATCTGTCTGTGTGTCCCACAAAATATCAACTTCCAGTTCCTCTCTGTATTGTTTTGTCCCCTATACATTCTCATGGATCTGACACTGCTTTGCACTGTGTCTGTTTTGCCTCTGATGTGAATGGCAAACATTGCTACAAAATATAATGCCTTACTGCATAATTTAATGCAACGTTAGGTGTGACTAAACATTAAATCTTTGTAGCACATAAAAAAGATTCAATAAGCATTTCCAGAAGCAATATTGTAATACAATTTTTGTTCCATGTGAGGCAGGTCCTTTTTATACCGAGCTTAAATTCCTTTACATAAACTAATATGCTGTTCTTTAAAATATGAAAATTACAGAACAGAACAAAGTACTACATTACATGTTAAGTCTCAGTCACTCAATTGGTTGTAAAATCCATAAATCATTCAGTTGATACTCTCATGCGTCACTATTAATTTATTAAGAACCTATGATTAATTGCATTAATTAAATTAAATGGAACATTGATACCAATTTGATATAAATCAACGCACTTCTGAATCCACTATGCAGCCAATGCAATTTCAAGATGGAGGACAATGAGTGTGCAATAAAAAACACATGCAAATTATGGCTTCAGTCTGCCAGACATGGACATATTGCAAATAGATGCAAGTAAAACAATACTTAAGAAATTTAAAAAATACTTCCAAGAAAATGAAAGTACTTACAAAGAAACAATATAGAAAATCAGAAATTCTTAGGGGTTTTGTAGACCCTAATAATTACTTCTTGTGATATAGATAAACAAGAAATAACCCTCATTGTCGGGCTGTAGAGCCTGCTTGGAGAAGAGGGAAGATCGTGAAGAGAGAACAAGGCTCTACTGGAGTCACTCTGTCTGGCAGGGTTACAGCTGTGAACAGTACAGGGATTTATTTCATGTTTCCTCTTTTGCCCTGAGGATTAAATTAATGCTGGAGTTTTTATAGTCTCAAAAGTGGAGTAAATCTGGTAGAAATCAATGCAATTTGAAGTCAGGAAATTCAAAAACAGACTTCTTCAAATTTTAGTTCAGAAGACTTAACTGAGAAAAAAATAACTGGTGAACATAGAGTAAATGCAGTATTTTGCCTATTTGCCTTATTTGCCTTAATTAAGCTGAAACGTTTTCACCATGTGGTTATACAAACATGAAATATCAATGGAAGGAAATATTCAAATTGTTTAATAGGTCGGCACTTCAAAGACAATGGGTGCCCACTAATAAATTACAAGGGCTTAATACTGTACATATGCATTAAGTGAACGTATGAAACCCTATAACCAATAAGTAAATAAAAAATCTATTCTCTTTCTCGGAATAATAAAAACCGTGGGCTCATGTCACATCTGGATAAAAAACCTGGACACTTTAACCACTGAATTTGAATAAGATGAATATTAACAGTGTGCTTCTGAGGTTAGATATCATAATAAAAAAAGGCAGGTCCCAGATATGCCTAAATTCTTTGGAAAATAGTTGACTGATGAAATTTAGAACACAAACAAGTAGGATGGACCTGAGGATACAAACAAATAGATATATGCAGTACATATATAGACATAGTTCAGGTGGGTAGCTGCGTCAGCATGCGTAAGCTGCAAAGGAACAAGTAATAGGTTTATTTTATGCTGAAAAGAGAAGAAAGAAAACGTAACGTTTCGGCTGTGGAGCCTTCTTTGGGTGTGCGCATATATAGACATACTTGTACGTGCACTTCAGAGGTTCCACCAGAAAGAATCAGGAAACACGAACATTATAGAAGCTGCCCTGCGTCAGCACTTATGTCACAAGGAAGTACAGTACTGTAGGTGTCAAATAATCTGTGGGTCTGAACCAATTCCAGGGGAACAAATAAATGTTCTATAATTCTCTTCTGCCTCATTGGGATTATCAGTTTAATTTAAATTAAAATTAAAATTCACATGCATGCTGGAACTTGCAGATGAAGTACAGAACATCTTGTGGCATTGTTTTTTTTAGTGTATCACATTTTGGGATAAGCAATGCCCCCAGGAAATCACAAAGCTAAGACAGATGTCAGATATGGCAAAATTGATTTTGAGTCACAATTTAATTAGCTCATCCCAGTTTAAGAGAGACATATCCCAGATAAAATGAGAGCCTCAAAATAAAATAACAGCTAAAGCCCCAAGTAATGGCAGGGGCAGAAATAAGAGATCCCACCTATTTTTTTTAACATTTTAAATACTGTTCTACTTCACACAATTAAAACAAAAACCTTAACATTTATACTATACAGCTTTTTTCCCTTGTTCATTTCTAGCCAGACATGGCACTAACATTAGAAATGACTAGATGCAATTTCATGAAATCACTATGGAAAATAGGCAGTAAATCACCGTAATTGAGATACTTAATGTGTTTAATTTATTTTAGCCATTTTTTAAAAAATTTTCTCCAAGTGAATATTAATATTTCTAGCTTGCTTTTCAAATTAGCATTAGCTAATTAGTTGAAATGTTTCCACTGGGACAACAAAAAATTGTGATGTATATATGTATATATAACTACAGGTAATAATCTGAAAAACCTAATTCAGAAATGAGAACAACTGCAATAGCTAAAATGCAAGAATTATGCTTAGCCAATTGCCAGTATGAAAGTGAATGTAATAGCCAACTTGAATTAACTACCTCTGGTAATTAAAGTAAAAACAGATCAAGTCCAGAGCTAACCAACAATGCTGGACCCATTTATAGAGCTGGGAGGATGGGAGCAACTTGGGAAAATGAACAGTGTGTATTCTTACACCAATCAGACAGGTATTATAAATTAAATGGACAGTAATCATCCTTTCTATCATCAATTTTAAAAACATGCTCATGAAAATTTCCCATAAGTTATATAACTGGCAAACAGAAATTACAGTATGGGTTTTTCCTGCTGCTGAATCAGATTTTGGCTCATTAATTGCATAAACCAACACGTTGATTAATTCATTTTTCATTATTCATGTTTCCATGCACAGTAGGTCTAGGCACTGGCACTGTGGCAAGGTCAGGTCTTTTTCAAACACAAAGAAAAAGAGATCTCTTTCTTCTCTTTCCTGTGCACTGCAAACAAAGATAAATCAAGCTTTGGCCATTGTTCTCTCACCTGAGGGGTCTGGGCAACATTGGGAAGCTGGACTGGCTGCCTGAGTCGGGTGGTTGAAGGACAAGGCTGACCTCTGACCTGCCAACAGCATTCTGGTCTTGGCAGAAGGCAACCTGGTGACCGCACCCAAGCCCAGCTGAGGCCTGAGGACCATAGAGGAGCGAAAGATACTAGCAGGACCAGCCTCGTGTGCACCGAGGTGGGAAATCGTAGAGTCCTCCTGCCCTGGTCCAGCTAGTCCAACATCAGTTCTGCCTGCCTGTGAAACCCACAAAAAACCTTTGAGGGACACTTAAGAACAAGAACAAAAATCAAACACTTCAGCCCTGGATGTAGGCTAACATTTACTAGATGAAATGTGTGGAGCTCAGCTCTCCCACAATGATCCTGTAACATTCTTTCTATTTTGAGCAGGCTAAATTCGATTTCAAGGATATGTGACATTTTACCATTTTTTAAACAAACTAAATGAATGAGATGGGAATGTTTCATTAGGAGACTGCAATAAACTGAAATGTTTTATTTATTTAAAAAAATCTTGCCCTTAAACTACATTTAAATATTTCATTATTAACATTTTGAAATCTGTTTTTGGTGGTTAGGCATTATGATTACCAAATACACAGAGTCAAAACTCCTCTTATTTAGGCATGCAGATTAAATGACCAGGCAACTAGAACATAAGCAACTGGCCTGATGCAGAGCCAAGAATACTTATCATGCAAGTGCTTGATACAGTAGGATACCACCTTTTGTCTGTATATTATTCAATCAGTAACCTATTAAGAATTGTTTCAACTGTTTCAATTGTTTCAACTAATAACAATTTATTACGCAAGTTGAGGGTAACATGAATTCTGCATAATAAATTACTTGGTTGGCTAGTGCAGACTGTTTCTGAAACCACTGACTTAGTGTGAAATTGAGCTATTAAAAAGATCTTCTTTTGAAAATAGTTCAATTAAGGGTTCAGTACGCTCAAACAATGAAATTCTCAGCTGGGAATAAAACAAGAAGGGCTTTTGAGGACTAGGTTTGAGAATCCCTGATTTATACAAATAGAATCTTTAAAAAAATGTCTTACCCCACCACCCACGTCCTGTAGGAGCTTATCGGCCAGCTCTCCATAGAAACTATCCGATTTCACGACCATCTTGTGGGGAACTGTATGGCTGGGTGGCTTGATTCCAGACACCATTAACCCTGAAGAGTAGTAACGGCCCTTTTGCATTTCATTGCGGTACTTGTCATACAGGAGGTTGGAAGCACTAAGCACAGGAGAGGATTTGGGATCACTGCTCACTTGTTTTGGTTCTTTGGCCAGGGGGCTGGTATAGGTAGAAAGCCTGGAGGGTAGGGTGGCAACATCATAAGCACCATCCAGCTGCTTGACTTGTGGTGTTTTGCGAATGTAGGTTATAATTTTGGGCCTGACGTGTTTTGGCTTAGGGGGGAACTTTGCTTCATTCTTATCCTCTAACTTGCTCCCAGAGCTCGTCTCTGTTTCTCCCCGGTTCAGGAGAGAGGTCCTAGGATGCTGTAAGATGGGTTTGGGGATTCCACTGCTGAGACACACCTTGCTCGGTGGTTTCAGGCCACTGTTTAACATCTGGAGGTTGTCCACTGAAGATCCAGCGGGATGGAGCCTCTCATTGTAAAACAAAACAGGCTCTTTTGAAGTGTTACCAGGTTCCCCAGGCTGTGCTCTGGCACTCACTTTTCCTGGTGAAGACAGGGGTCTTCTTCGCGGCGAGCCTGTGCTTTTGGCTCCTGTTTGGGCCTCAGATGAGGGCTCTGTACATGATTTCTTTCCCAGCTGTTGCTTTTTATCAGCAGTGAATGGGTCTGCCATAGTAACCTCCCCATCACCAGAAACATATTCACCAGAGCCCTGCTTATGAAGGCCTTTAGACTGATCAAAGGTGGGGCCTTCTATTATATCGGCATGTCCTTTTAATGACAGACTGCCAGAGAGTTCAGCCTGTTCAACGGTGGGTATACCAAAAGATTGAGAAACCCTGAAACTGTCCTTATGACTGGCTTTATGCACTGTGGTTTCAGCACTTGGGGATATTCTGCTCTCGTCTGAGCTGTGTCCTGATGCATTTTGCACCCTGCCAGTGTCAGAAGTATGTGGCCTGGGTTGGACTGATTGATGTGATGTGTCTTCTTCTGAGTCCTTCCCTTGACCCGGTAATGCTGCTGTAGTAAATGAATGCCCCTTCCAAAACCCATCTTTCAAACTGGGATTGGGCTTTCCCTCTGTTATGGCTGAATCTACAGCCTTTTGTTCATGCTGTCCAGATGTTAACTCAGTTACACTTGTCTGTGAATCTGTAAGACCCTCACAGGGGCTCATCTTTATCCTCTGGCCTGAATACCTTTGTTCTGGCTGTGCTTCTGTTTTATAAAGGACTTCCTGAGACTGAAATTTTGAGTTTAGATTTTGAGCACTATTGTCAGATTGCTTTGTGCTTCCAACGGGAGGGTTCGCAATCATCTGGGATCTCCTGCTCTTCACTGAGGTAGCAACATTGGATAGAAAAGCAAGAGTGTCTTCCGAGGTCATACTGAGTGCTTCAGGTGGAGTGTGCTGAGGATCCACTGTTTGTGTTCTTCTAGAGCTGTCCAGTGTGCTTGCTAAGCCTCTACTGGGAGTTGATGATGCAGAAATGCAGGAAACGATTATATCATTTTCTGAGCTGACCTCAGGTGCCATTTGCCCAGGGCCTTGAGCTATTCTCTTTTTAAATGACAGGGCAGAACACGTGTCGCCTTTTACCTCAATTTTTGCAGCCATCTGAGGAGAAGAACAGGCAGTGTGCTGAGAATAAGCAGAGTCCGACTCCAGGAACATACCTGTACCTTCTTCTTCCAAATAGGCCTCTAGCTCTTGGCATTCCAGCAGCTCAAACTCCTCTAAGTCTGGGTCATCGCATTGGGAGTCTGTCCCCCAGATGATGATTTTGTCCTGATCTTCGGTTTGCGACACCAGAGGGGGGATAGTAACAGTATCACCAGTCCCACCTTTACAAGTGCCACCCCCGTCCTCATTGCAACTATCTTCTGCTGGGATTTCATTGGCATTGGCATCACCTGAAGTTACAAAGGCCTGCTTATTGTTGTTTTTAATTTCTCCTCTGCTGTCCTGCAGGCTGCTGTCATAAGACCCACCTAACTCGCCCTGTAGACTCATATTCTGTCCGTATGGTGTTCACTTGTTCCGGCAGAAGCTTCCAACAGCTGTGCCTAACTATGAATCCATTAACAGTAGGCTACTGTGAGTGCTTTTTCCCTTAGATTAGGCTGTCGGATTTCACATCTTTCTTGATCTCAGATTAGTGTTCCAGTGCGGCCTTCAGGCAACCTCTCTATTTGGCTGCACTTGACGGCATGATGACAAAAGATAAAGGAGAGCAGTGAAGATTCTGTTAAGTGCCCTTAGTGCAGCAACTGGCCCGTTGACGTGACCTGTAATGATAAGAAAGTGCATCTGTAAGAGAAGCCTGCACCTTGGTATCGTGTAGCATCAAATGTGTCAAGCCTCAGTTGGTCAAAAAAGTGCTACAGTAATAAGATAAGATAAGATCACTTTATCAGCCATATACAATTTCTTGCATTAGGAATTCGACTTTTCCCATACCCCAGCTTGCCCTTAATGAGACACAAACAGAAAGACATGGAGAGAAGCTTGGGGTCAGAGCGCAGGGTCAGCGCTCCTGGAGCAGTTGGGGTTAAGGGCCTTGCTCAGGGGCCCAATGGAGTATGATTCCTCTGCCGGCCACAGGATTTGAACCGGCAACCTTCCAGCCACATGTGGAGATCCTTAGCCATAGTTTGTTGTTAAACTGATAGTGATTGTTGACCTTTGGTGTGACCTCTGTCATGTGGCTGTTGTTTGGTCCAATAGTCACATTATTATACTCAACCACCTGGACACAAGAAAATTTGTACTGAAACAAAAACAAACAGTCAAGCTAGTGCTTTGTTGCACTCTACCGGGAATAATTGTTAGAAAGTCAAGATTAACTACAATTTCAGTGTTTACAGCCACATTTTTTGCCGCGTGCTTGTCACTTCTTGTCCAAGTGACACTAACATCTCCAAAGTAGCAGTAGTAGCACTTTCTATCTGTATGATGAAATTTGCTATCACAGGGAGATCATCTGTCAGGTGCCAAACTGTCTTTATCCATAAAAACACCATAGAGATTTCACTGCATATATAGGTATTTTAGGAGTTATTTCTTCCTTTTCCGTAATGAATCCTATAATGGTACCAAGGCACCGGACATCTGCTTCAGGCAACCTCTCGATTTGGCTGCACATGACGGCAAGATGAGAAAAGATAAAGGAGAGTCATGAAGATCCTATTGATCCTATTGAGTGTTCTTAGTGCAGAAACTGGCCACTTGTAGCCAAATTTACAAAACAATGTTTAACAGACATTTAATGGCATGTATGTCATTCAGTAGGATACTTGTTACCTGTAATATAATCAAATGGTATTACAAATCTTGTATCAAATCAAAAGGAAAAACAAAAGAACTGTTATAGCTATGGAGCCTTCTTCAAATGTGCATGTGCACATAAACATATGCATGAAATAAGGAACAATCTGAGCTTCAGAATATTTTGGGTTTTGGAAAATGCAGCAATTTACATATGACAGATACCTTCTCAAGCAAGACAAGATGCATGGGACTCATTAGTTCAAGCAAGGCGAGGTGAGACAGTATCTTGTTTTGTGGCAGATAGGTGATAAGTAGAGAAGGTTATGAAAATAAAACAATTTATTTCCATTGATGTAACAATATAATGTTCTTTTTTATGTTCTAATTCTTTTTTAATTTCTATGATTTTTTTAACTTAAAATGAACCTTCCATTTCTAGGTAATTGAGTAGTCTATCCTCACAGGGATTATTCAGAAACTTAAATAATTTTTGTACCCTTCTCCTGATCTGTCCTTTTCAAAAACTTGATTTTATAACCTGAAACCTTGCGTTGAAGGGTTTTCATGTTTTAGTATTTACCAACTGACCACAGAACCTCACTGGAACAGTTGTTTTTATTATGAAATCATAAGAAACACTATTATTGCACACACACAGAAGCTATTCAACTAATTCTTTCACATTATCTATTTGTTTTTTATCATTAGAATGTGTGGAGTAGGTTGTGTACAGTACAGTATATAACAAATATTAATTGCAACTTCAAAGCATCACTACTCCCAACTTTAAAGCAGCTTTTGCTTTTGCTTTTGCTTTTGCAAGACACTATACATCCCTGAGGTCTTAAAGTAAGAGAACAAAGACCTTTGGCAATGAAAGTGACAAAAGAAAAAAATGCAATTAATTTCTTCCCTCAAGGAAAACAATATGCTGCTTAAAAAACAGATAAATCCAAAGACGCAAAGTAGATTTCCTGCCCTCACAGAGATATAATCTTAGTAAAGCTCTCCTATATATTCAGTTTATAAGCCTCATCAGCCTTGTCTCATTATAGCTGAAAAATCCTGTTTGAAACCTCTGGTGATTCCCACTGAGACCAGGATTATAGGTCTAATAACAATTCCCACTTAAGCATTTTTTTAAGCAATAATGTCGATCCTTATATGTATGTAGAACCATAAGACAAAACCCACATAATCCTTTAATGTGTGTTTCAATATTACCAGGTGCAGATAAATAATCGACAAAACATGACAAAATCAAGGTTACAAAATGAAGAATGGATTTACTACATACTGTATGTACACAGTGGTATAAACCAATGCAAAATCTAGACAAATGTTTAACTTGGAGAAATTTACAACGTGGTAAATCATGCTACTGAAAAAATAACATCAAAAGGTTTGTTTTTCAGTGCAACCAAACCTTATTCCTTTTTTTCGTCATCTAAGAACTCTTTGCTCAGACATACACAAGCAAATTTCATTTTTAATTCTATCTGGTGACAAACAAATGAACAACTGAATCGACATTGCTAAATGTAGAGCAAGCACACTGGAAGCTATCTGTTAGAGGCATGCTTGTGAAAAGTGCTTTTAAAAACTACTGTACTACTCGACTGTACTACTGTACTACTGCAGACACGTGCAAGAACCATTTCAAGTTCTTTTTTTCCTCAATTATTTGCCAATTTCTTATCTTTTTTTAAATGTAGTCTAGCATCTAAAACCAGCGCATGGTCTTCAAAAACAATCAATGTCAAGGTTTTTAAAAACATCCAGTTGTCTGCAATTATACTTCCACTATACTAAAGTAAAATCAGATGATATACAAATTAAATTTCATTGCCTGAAATCATGTAGAAAGAAGCCCTTTTAACTTAAATTTGAGAAAATCAGAACCTTCGTCTAACACTGCATCATGACTGCCATTAACATTTTGCTGCTAAATTGAGCTGTCAGTGACACACACAATTTTTATTTTAAGTCCACAATAATAGAATTTCTGAAATCACTGCAACACACAAGTCTATCTCTGTAAACAAAGAATTGAGCTGCAAAGGCAGATTTTGTTTTCCAAAATCCAACCCAAGATGTACAGTGAACTACAACTACAATGTAGACAAAACTTTGCTGAAACTCTTGTGTGAATATACAATATGGATTTGAGTGATCTCAAATAAAGTTCAATTTATTTAAAGTCAATACATTGACAGAATTAAGAAAATCAGGACACAGTTGCCGCAAAATGCAACTGGTTTTCTACACAGTAAATAGATTTCTCAGAAAAAGAATGTATGAGGAATTTATGTTTAATCACAGCAATATCATTAAACATTACAAAACTGCCTGACAACCTTCACTACTTTCACTAGCAATTCCCTTTGTCCCAGCTAGTGCATCTCAATTTGTTTTAGGAACAAAACAACCATGCTCTGGAGACAAACCATTGTATTAAAAGGTAGCTGTGATTCTACATTGTTTAAAATAATGTCAAGTTTTCAGTTATTTCAAGAGGTTAAGTGTTAAGTCAAGAGTTATTCATGTGACATTACCCTCAGCTTTTTTTGGAACTGCTGAGAAGCAACAAGCATGCTATGGTACACCAGTACTGTATGACCTTTCTGTTTCCACTGACAGTCTGACATTGTCATCTTATTCAGCAAAACAAAGGAGAACGTTGTTCCTTAGGATGGATGTAAATAGACTAGGCAGGAAATAAATGAAGAATAGGGAAATCATGTTTAATCTTCTATATAATCAACTGCATAGAAACAGTGTTCACCCATGCCTGTTGATCTATATACTGTACTGTAGTAAAATGGAAGGGCAGGGATATTGACAGTTGTCCTAGCACTTCTAGTCCAGGCATTTTGTGACTGTGACTAACTTAAACTTATACATTGCCAGAACACTTGTAATGCAATTTAGTTTAATTAAATTGAAATAAATCTCCTAATTATAAAACTCCTTCAGTTTCTTTTCCAAGAAAAATAGTCTTAATGGTTTCTTAAAATCAGACCAGGGTTCCCCCTATGAACTTTGTGTCTGTGACGACTCCAGTAGGTAATTTCTCCACAATGTACAAGAACATGTCCCAAGAGAATCATCTCCAATGAACCTGTCTGCCTGCATCATGCTGTAATTCATCATAAACCAGTGAGAGATTTCAGTATTTGGTTGCTTCATGCTCTCCTCAACCCAGATTCACCTGTTATCCTTAACACAATTAGATTTGTTTTTAAATCACCGCATTAAAATAATATATATAAATACTTGCATTTAAAAAAATGTAAAATGTGTCACATACTGTAAATTACTACACAAAATCTGTTCTACATAATAATGTATACATTTAGAGTTAATTGCAGCAAAGGGCTATATACTGTACATATGTTCCTATACAACAATAGTTTTTTTAAAAGACTGAATAATAAAATGCATATTAGTACTGAACAGAAAAATAATGAAGCACATCTGGAACATCTGTTATGTCATTACTAAGCTTTATAATGAGCAATATACTGTAACACTGAATATGGTTACTGTAACACTGAGACAGGAGTAGGGATTAAAAATCTGAGAACTAATAACAGATGGTTTCATACCAGACCTGAGGAAGTGCTCAACGGGTTCTATCAAATGGCAGTTTTATTAAGGAAAATGGAAAAAAAAAAAACAGAAAACATTCTTTTCTTCTTAACCTAAAGTTCCTAATGAATGAAAGAGCCTTTATGTCCATGGTATTCTAGCCCCTGACACTGGATGACATTTAACAGAGCCAAGAGTGATTCCAATTCTTTCTGAAGAGACAGGGCTCAACTAAAGTGATGTAGGCCAAAACAGAAGGTTGTACAGACTTGCTCTGCCTAGATGATGCATAAATATAGATACATGCTTTTATTTAATCAAGATTAGACTACTGTAATGCCTTACTTACTGGTTATCTGCAAAATTACTAAGTATCTTCATTTTATCCAGAATTCTGTGGTCCATATGCAAATTAATACTCTGTAAA